GACTCTAAAAATACCAGCATAGTCTGTCACTGTGGTTATGAATGCAAGCCACCTTGCTTTGTCCAATCACAACCTGCCAGTACCTTTACTTCTTCATCTAAAAAAATGAAGATAATAGTAGTATCTGGCTCACAGTGTTATTCTAGGTTTAAATGGTATAATAAATGTAAAATGCCTAGCAAAACTCCTAGCACATACTAAGCAGAATGTCTAATGGTTTAAAAGGGCTTCTGAAGTGTAGAGTCAAATGCTGTAGTTCTTTCTTATTTCAAGTATCTGTGTGTATGGATGATTTGCTTGATCTGCCACCTGCACCCTGCCCACCTCTGCCCCTGACTTGCCTTTTTTCTGATCACTGAATTCTTAGCTCAGTTCTTCACTTACTGATTTAGATTGCTTAGCACATCCTCTGTATCATTCACCAGTTATTGTCTGTACTATATATATTTGCATTTAATTACATGTTATAGTTTACATGGGTGTGATTTTGCTTTTCCGACTATGCCGCACTTTGGGAATTTTGATACACTTTATCATATTATTCCTTTCTCCAAAATTTTCCTAATTTTTACCTTCATTTATCCACTCAACACACGCTAATATTTATCGTTCATTATGTTTAGACCCTTGGAATATATAGAAGCAACCAAATAGACAAAATTCCTGGATCTTTCTTCTAGTGGAAAGAGAGAGACAACAATCAATCAAGTAAATGGATAATATGTCTACAGGGAGTGTTGGAACAGTCGTGGTGTTTTTGCTATTTAATACATTAGGACATTTAATGAAGACCTAAGGAAGATAGGGAACAAATTATGTAGAACTTTAGGGGAAAAATATTTCAAGGAAGAAATAGCAAATATAAACTAACTGAGGAAAGAGAATGCCTGGCTTGTTGGAAGCACAGCTAAAGGATCACAACCTAAAGCAAAGTGGAAAAGGGGGGTGTGAGGTAAAGTCAGAAAAGCATCAGGGGACCAGATTCTATAGGACTGTGTTGACTACTATCAGAATTATAAATTTTCTTATGAATTAAATAGAAGGCTTGGAGTTGTTGATGATCTGATTTAAACTCTAAAATGTTCATTCTGCTTATTGTGGGAAGAACGGATCTGGCTACAAGGGTCAAGGGCAGATGCCAGAGACTCTCAGAGAATCTCAATAATCCAATTATAATGACAATTTAATTACTACATTTTTCACTTCCTGTTCTGCATGACGGCTGTTCATACACATGCTTTATCATCCTTGCTAAAATTTAAATTCCGTATGGGCCAGGATTCCAACAAATTTATATTTGTAGACCCTAGACTTTTTAAACCAAGTAAAAAAATGTTGGTACCCAAAGAGTACAAACATAAATTGGTATCATGCTTCTCTACTTGGCCCTCACCCTCCACCCCATTGTACCCTACATAGCTTCCCTCCTTACAAAATTTCTTAATACAACATACACATGTCAAGCAATATCTCTTTGTATTGTAAAGAAAAAAAATAGGATGTAAAGTGGAGAACAAAAAGGAGGTACAGAGGAAGAAGATACAGTTCTTGTTCTCAAGGAATCTTTATAATGACCAAAAAATCAACACCCACACATGCATACAGCCATGTGTGTGTGTATGTTTGGCCTATTCACATGCTCTTTATAGTCATTTCATGCTGGATCTTTAAACTACATGTATTCTCTATATGATTTCATAACATAACCATGCCTACATAGACTTGCCATTCAAAATTTGTAAAATTCCATGTATGGTAATTTGGGTTATTTATGTTCTAACATAACAGTGTAGTTTGAGAATAATTCTACAAAATTCCACAAAATTTCCAAAAGGAAAATATATATTTTTTTTCTGATTGTCATTCAAGAGTATTACTAACATGTATCTTGAAAAACTTTGAGTTGGGAACAATGACTATTACAAAATATAGTTATTGAAGCCAAGGAGACATAAATGATGCTTTTTTTTTTTTTTTCCATCTTTTTCATCATGAAGAAGTTGAATTCTATTCTTCTGTGGCAGCCAATGTCATGCCAGAATTGAGGAACAGTGCTTATGCTAAGATTACTGGTTAATCTCTGCAGTCTTCCCTAAAACCCCCAAAATAAAGGTAAAGCTGCTACTGCCTCTAGGGAAATGGAAATGCCCAACAGAGCATTCAAAATCAGACTTTCATGGTAAAACATCCACTAATAATTAATTTTCTGCTTCCTTTAGACTAGGACAGGTTAAGCAGTTGGTCACATTCAGTAAATAAGAAATTACTTGCAGTAATTTCTGCAACATTCTAATCATTTTCCCATTTCGGAAACCTATTTTAAAAGTCTTTGATCTGCATTACAGTGGAAAGGACATTGAATGTGGAAAGAGAAGACTTGATTATGAATTCAACATTGGCACCCACTAATTTCGTGACTTAGGCCAGTCATTTAACCTAAACATCTCCATTTATTTTCTAGTGATCAAGAGCATTGCAGTCTATACCCTGAAAGAGTTGTTATGAACACGCAATAGAAAAACATGGGAAGGACATAGATGCAGAGGTTACACAGAAACACTTGATGAATGCAGATACTAAATGACACACTAGAATTATCACAGTCCTAGCAGTGGTATTTCAGAGTTCTGTCCTGTACCAGCACAAATGTGATCTTGTGAAATGGGAAATATGTCCCCTGTATCTTCTTTCTGCACATTATTAAGAATAACAATATGCTGGAATTATGTAATTACGTCATTAAAGGGGGTTTTATTTTCTTTAGTAAATACATAAGGACAAACTTTTCAATTAACAGTGACCTTTACGACTTCCGTTTTGGATTCTGTAGATGGTAAAGCTGACTGCAAATTAGATTCTGCAATGTACCTTGTTCCTTACTTTTTTACCCACTGATTAGTTTCATACAGTTGACAGCAGCCCACCCTGTTGCTTTCAGCTTGCAATTTTGTAGCAATCTCAAAACACTGTGTTCAATCCCCCAAGGTGCTCTGTGGAAATGCTGTCAAACTATTTCTATGTATGTGTGTTTTCGTTCTGTAGCTGTGCTTTGTACTCATTTAAGAAAACCAGTCTTTAATTTGTAACAGAACATTTTCAAGATGAAACAGAATTTCAGGCCTCAGCAAAATCACTGGTATATGACCACAGCCTTCTTCTGTTCTAAAGCTTGATGTGCCTGACTACTATTAAACATAATGCTGTATTTTTGAAACCTGTTACAGAATGTGACTAAATATATGGCTGCAAATTTGGCCTTAAAATCTAGTGATTGTTATTACGCTTGTCATCATCATGTGGATCTGGTTTTATTTTTCCAATTCCATCTCTCATGCCTTTTACCATATATCTCATGGTTATTTGTCATTCCTTGAAATGCCTAGAGGTTCTGCCTACATATAGCATAGCATCTCTGTCTAGAATGCCATATCTTACAGTACTGACCTCTTTATCTCAGACATTGCCTATTTCAGAAGGCCTTTCTCTATGCCTTCAATGCCCTGATTCAAGTAACTCTCTTTGATCTCTCATGCATCCTGTGTGTGATTTCATAAAAACATTTTCCTTTCTGTATAGTAATAATTGGTTTGCTCTTGTGTCTTCCTCGCTAGACTAAAACTTTTAGACAGCAAGAGACAATACCTATTTAAATCCATAGATACTTTATAAATGTTTGCTGGCTAAATGAATGCTTTATTAAAAAAAAAATATTGATCGGCCGGGCACGGTGGTTCATGCCTGTAATCCCAGCACTTTGGGAGGCCAAGGTGGGCAGATCACAAGGTCAGGAGATTGAGACCATCCTGGCTAACACGGTGAAACCCCGTCTCTACTAAAAATACAAAAAAAAAAAAAAAAAATTAGCTGGGCATGGTGGCGGGCGCCTGTAGTCCCAGCTACTCGGTATGCTGAGGCAGGAGAATGGCGTGAACCCGGAAGGTGGAGTTTGCAGTGAGCCGAGATTGCACCACTACACTCCAGCCTGGGCAACAGAGCAAGACTCCCTCTCAAAAAAAAAAAAAAAAAAGGCTTTGATCAATAAATTGCAAAAACGAGCAACATTATTAATAAAAGTGTTACACTAGCTTTGTTATATCTAATGACTACAGCATTCCGTAAACACAGTTTATAGTTTTATCAGTGAAACATAGTTTATAGTTTCAGTGTACAAGCTTCCCACTGTGCAAATGCAAGCTATTTTAAAAGTAAATCCTTATAGGCCGGGCATGGTGGCTCAAGCCTATAAAACCAGCACTTTGGGAGGCTGAGGCAGGCAGATCGCCTGAGGTCAGGAGTTCAAGACCAGTCTGGCCAACATAGTGAAACCCCGTCTCCACTATAAATACAAAAATTAGCCAGTCACGGTGTCAGGCGCTTGTAATCCTAGCTACTAGGGAGGCTGAGGCTGGAGAATTGCTTGAACTCAGCAGATGGAAGTTGCAGTGAGCCAAGATTGTGCCACTCCACCCTGGGCGACAGAGTAATATCCTGCCTCAAATAAAGAAATAAACAAATAAATAAATAAATAAACCCACCCTTATATGGTTCTATGATTTCTGCATCTGGTACATTATATTCAGTGTCAGATTGGGTCAGGTCAGTCTAAATCATAGACCTTTACTGTTTCTCATAATTTCAAACGAAGAAATAGGCTTTAACATAGAAAATTGTTTAAACTAATTTAACTTTATTTAAATTTGTCATCCAGACAGAATGAAAAAGACTTTTGACTAACTTTCAGTTGAAACACACACACACAAACACACACACAAACACACACACACACTCTACACACTTAAAAAATTGTATGCAAGTATTGTTTTACGTTTGTATTGGGAATGGAAGATACATCAGTATGTTCGTGTTTCCTGAGTTAATGTCTGATGTTTTCAATTGATGTTGTGCTATTATTCAGCAAAAGAAAATAACACTCAGAACAAAATAATGTTGTCTCTCATTTTTATTTTGATTAATAGTGTTCTATCTCTTGTAATTTTTAGGTGCTTTTTGGAAGATGGAGCTTCAAAGGGTGCCTGGCTGAACCGGTCAAGTATTATTTTTGCGGGAGGTGATAAGTGGTCAGTGGATCCTCGAGTTTCAATTTCAACATTGAATAAAAGGGACTACAGCCTCCAGATACAGAATGTAGATGTGACAGATGATGGCCCATACACGTGTTCTGTTCAGACTCAACATACACCCAGAACAATGCAGGTGCATCTAACTGTGCAAGGTATGTATTTTCAGAACTGCTATATTGTGAAAGACTATGCTTAGAAATGCTTAATATTTAGGTATCAAAATGACTAGGAAACAATTAACAATGCTGAAATATTCATTGTCATTGAAATATTTGTTGAAGTATATTGTCATTGCTTTGAGGAGTTTACATTCCTAGATATCAGAAAGTCGTTAAGAGTCATACAGACAAAATGAAAAAGTCGTCTGACTGACTTTGAATTGAAAGACACACACACAAACACACACTTTAAAAATGTATGCAAGTATTGTAGTCATTAAGAAGTGTAATGACCATTACAGGCATACAAATCCCTACTTACAAAGATAAAGAAATATCCATTAACACCACATTATGACGTTTGTAAATGATTCACCTCATATTTTCCTTTGATTCATCCCTTCAATCAATCTTTGAGAGCCCATGATTGATACATTAAATATTTGAAACCTACAATAGATACATGGAAATATTAGAACTTTTTGAAATATGCATAATAACTCTTTAAATGCAGTCCGCCAACCATTCAAATACTCTGTCTCAATCCAACCTCTGTTTACTTTGATTCAAGTCACAATGAAAAGTATCAGCCTTCTAAGATTTCTTTATTTAAATATGAAGTAATTGAGAATACATGTACACAATGGTTTATATTTGATTTACTTTCAGTAGATCATAAAGCATGCTAGCTAACTTTCAATCTCCAGATACAAACAGAAGCATCAAATTATTTTATTTCTCTTGCATACTAAAATGTAAGAGCATATGTACCCTAAAATACAAATGGTTTTCAAGAAAAATGAAATTATTATGCTAGGAGAATGGAAAGCATTTATTTTTTGCCCTTTTACATTATTTCCTTCTGCTTTGTAAATTAATCATGTGTTCATTGTTTAGAAATATCATGCTCTGTGGAACTGAAACTGAAGTTGCCATATTTCTAAGTAAAATTAATAACGAATCATGTGATAATGTGGTACCAGAGCATGCATGTTTTATTCCTAGTAGGAAAGTTGAGTGAGCAAGTCAGTTGTACTCTCTTTGAGTTTACCCTTCAATAAGTCAAGGTTGAAAATTAATTTAGGTGCATAGCTTAAGTCTGAAAAAGATTACTAATCTATAGCCTTATTAACTGAGCTTTATTTCCTTACGTACAGGTAACCTTGAATTCAAACACAGCTTCAATTGTTAGTACAGCAAATATTTTAACTTTGTGATAAGGTTAAACTTATTAAACAATTAACTTTAAGGAGGAAAGTAAAAATTGAAAAATAAGTCAATGAATTTCCTCAGTGATTTTTCTTTTTTTTTTTTGCAAATTATTGCAGACTGTGATGATGTTCATTATTTAAAAGTGGTATATCCCAACATAATAACATTTTCACAAAAGTCTATCTTTAATCAGAGATTATTCAGGGACTCCAGAGGGTGGGAGTTAATCCAGCTTCAGAAACTGACATGAGATTGTAAGACAAAACACATTTCTTATGTTATTCAAGCCTAATCCTGTTCTCTTGTTCAGCTCTCTGCCCTTTGACTTGAGTTTCTAGCTCAAAGACTATAAAAGATTTTCATTATGTGAAAAAAGAAAGTACACTTGAACAATAATATGTTCAAGTTAGTTAAGACACAGACATTTTGCTTGTACATTTTAAACTTGTAAATTTAAATGATATATTTCTGAAGAATAAATATATCCCATTTTCCTTTTTCCATTCTCTCTTGTTCCATATTAGGTCTATATTTTAAATAACCAGACTATTGGTATTTAAGACCAGCCTAGGTACATGTTTAATTCTCATAGGATTTTTAAACTAACTTTATATTACTTATGTTGTTTGATATTGTTCACATTTTTAAAATTGCTACACGTCTTACTGTAGTACTCTTTTTTGCTGGTCATTAGATGATGGTGAACTTTTGAGCAGTTAGGAATGTACTTATTGAATGTTCCTTCAGTATAATATTTTATTCCTCCAGAAAAAGAAAAATCCATGTTACTGTTTTGAAAGTATAGGATTGGATAAAATTAAAAGCTAATAATTTTACAGTATTTATGAACGTAATTACTTATTAGAAGTTGATTGACACGTAGGCGTTTTTCATATTACATTAATAAAGTTCAGGGAATACATTAATAGGCTTGTCAGTCAATTCAAGTACTACATAAATGTCATAAAAAGTCAACCCCACTACATTTCTTCTCAATGAACAAAAATAAACTGATGTGTACCCCTCTTCAGTCCCTAAATTTGTTAGATTGTCTGATGCCCAGGGGTATCAGCATAGTTTTAAAGCCTATGCTCTTTGCCTAACAATCTGTCAGTCCTTTATGCACCAAGATAAAGAAGCTTAGCAACTGAGGGAAAACTGTATTAATCACTGATGTCAAACATACATTGGCTGGTAAAAACAAAGCTCACCTTCAATTGTTGCATGTACTCCAGGGAACTATTCTTTTCTAATCATTTTGAAAAGGGATAAAAAGTAGATATATTGTCAACACAGACACTATGTTTGAGAAATTTATTAGTGCTTGACTTCTTAGAGCTATTAATATAAATAAATGGAGCAATGGAGGAGGAAACACACTAAAGTACGAATAGGCAAACCTGGATTCTAATCTGGAAATAGGCAATTATTAAGTCTCTGAACTCTGGCTTTCTCATTTCAAAAGGGACATAAGACAAGAAGATCTTTAAGGTCCATACCAGTCAAAAAAAGACAAATGATAAAAACATACAAAAACAAAACAAATAAAAAACAGTAATAAAAATCCTACTTCAATTATTTGCTTTGATTTAATAGGAAAAAATGTATTTAAGTCAAAAAAGAAAAATATTTTATCACTTTTATCGAACACCATGCAAACTAATGTTTATATATAGCCCCTGTTACTACTTACTCCACAAGTACGTTTCATTTCTCTTTACATTTTTTCTTTATCCAATGGAGCTGTGTAATCTATGTATTTATGAAATTTGAAGAATGTGATAATTTGGAGCCTGGCTTTAAAAGGGTGGAAACTGGCTAATAGACTTAGTAATAAAATAAAATTTTTCATTACCTATATATAACATGGTTTTGATAAATCAAATGACCTATTATTCACTGTTTCGAACTATGTGATATATTTACAAAGAACTCATTTCTTTGTTTATAAGTGTATAAGTGTGTGAGGCTGGAGGACTTGTTATGAAGCCAGGGCTCCCTAGTACAATACTGTAATGATAAGAAACATGAAATATAAATACCTCCCACCTGAAAATATGTCAGGAATTGTGCTATGGTTAAAATCTGTCCCCCAAAGTTTATGTGTTGGAAAATTAATCTTGAAAGGAACAGTGTCTGAGGTGCAGTCAAATAAAAGCTGATTATTCATTCATGAGAGCTCTCATTAATGGTTTCATATTGCTGTCATGGGATTGGATTAGTTGTTGTGAGAGTGGGTTTCTTATAAAAGTGAGTTAGGCCCCCTCTTGCTTTCTTCTTCTTGGCCATCTGTTTTCTGCCATGGGATGATGCAGCACAAAGACCCTTGGAAGACGCTGGCACTATGCTCTTGGACTTCTCAGCCCCCAGAAATATGAGCCAAATAAATTTCTGTTCATTATAAATTACCCAATCGGGGATATTCTGTTATAACAGCATAAAATGGACTAAGACATGGTTCCTACTTTTAGTTCTCCATGACATTTAAAGTCTAGGTTGTATAGAACACAGATTAGACACTCATAGATATTGTGTATTAAATAAGCACATATAAAGTGTTTATTGCTCAACTCATTCCCTTTCAAGGAAATATACTCTATGTTTTCTCTGGTCAGAGTAGAAGGAGATTTGACTAGCACATAACTCTATAATCAAAATAACTTCTCAAAAATATTTAACTTCTCCAGGGTATTGTAATTTCCTTAGGGTACATAACTCACCTAGAGTATTTGTAATAGATGGGGTGCTTCACTTCCCTTATCAAGGGTGGGCTTCTTTCTCTAGATACTGGGAGTGTAGTTAGAAGACAATATTCAGGGCCCTTTTGAGGATAGTCTCAGCTGCAGAGAGCCTCCTTGCCGAAGTCAAGGCCTGCCTAGAGTAGCTAACACCCAATGACTGCTTGAGGCAAGGAGTATAAAGACCTTTTCCTTTTAGCCCAATGTAGGAGAGCTCTGATGGGCCATTTTAGGTTCAGAGCTCCACATGGGCAGCTGAGGCTATTGTCCAGACTCCACTGAAGCTCTACTTCTTACTGTATTCAAACCCATCTCCTTTGTCTTCCATCCCCAGGGGCTGATCATAAGGATATTGCCTAATAAACATCCTGCACTCTAAACTCTATCTTGTTTGCATTCATTTCACAAAGATCCTAAACTATGACAATATCAGATCCTTATCTCTTGCTTAGTCATTATTTTGAGAAAGCCTTTATAAAGTGAAAAGACATTCAAACATCATTTATTATTAATATTCTATTTTATGTTAAAAGGGATTTGAAGTGGCTTATGGAGAAGTATTCAGAACACCAAGATAGATAGGAGGAACAAAATAAACAAGAGAAGAGTAGGATGCAGTCAGAGGTGAGGTTAGATCACAAAATTTGTAATATGATTTCCATATACTTTCAGAGCATAGCAAAAATTCAGTAAGATTTCTGAAAGCCAATATATACAGAGAAACAGAATCAGTTATTCATTTCATAGTTCATAGGTTAAAACTTATTTTTCTCAGTACTCTGATCCTGTTTTTCAGAATAAAGTAGCATTTCTGCTGTGAGCTATCTCAGAGCAACACAGTGAGATATAAGGAACATCTCTTTGGTACCCGTAGCATTCATTCATAAGGCTTTTACTTATAACAGCTTTCATTATATAAGTTTATAAACTTATATAAGTATATAAGTATAAGTTATAAGTAAACTTATAAGTATAAGTTTACTTATAAGTTTACTTATAACCTGAAGTGCAGGGAAGTAAAAAAATAAACTTAAAAATAAATTC